TGTAAACCTAAAAATGTACAGCCAATTTTGAAAGAGATGTACCCTAGCTCAGAAAAATGTTATTGAATAGGTTAATGCTGTTGTAATGAAATGCTTCTTCTAATAAAAAAAAAAAAAAGGAGGCTTCAAGAAGGTCATGCAGCTCTGAGAATCTGAGCGTTGAGGAGTGAAATGCTGTATGCAGAACGGGAAGTGATAGTTAATGAAACCCCTTGAATCTAATTAAATCCTCAGAAATCACAGACTGCTAAACATAACTGTATTTTTTTGGGAAAATAATATGCATCAAAGCTGTGTGTTGATGGAAAAGGAACCAAAATGGAATTGGCCCACATAATCATGAGAGCGAGCCAGCAGAGGCAGGGGAATCTACATGGCTTAGCATTGATTTCTAGTCATGGAGTCCATCCACCTAAGTAATCCAAAAAGCCCTCACAGCACACTCATCCTTTGTAAAAGTGCAGCAGAGCTAGAAACAAAGAGGAATTTTAAGTCTTGGGGGTGTATTTTGAACCTAAGAATAAGAAGACACTGAAGAACTAAAGTTTTAATTTTTTAAATATTTTATTTATTATTTTTATTTTATGTGCATGTGTGTATTGCCGCATGTAGGTAAGTGCACCCGTGTCGTGCAATGCCCGTAGAAGACAGAAGAGGCTGTTGGATCCCCTGGAAGAGGAGTTACGGACAGTTGTTAGCTGCCATATGGGTGCTGGGATTTGAAACTGGGTCTTCTGCAAGAATAGCTCAGCGGTTAAAGTTTTAATTTTTTTAAGCAAAAGAATATTCATTTTTGCAAATGTTTGCAATGATTTGGGCTAAAAGCTGTAATTTTCTTATGGTTCCTTTGGTCTATTCTTCAAAATATGCAATGTAAGGTTGATCTAGAGAATACTTGACCACCTCTACTTCTCCACCTCCGTTCTTCTTCCGTTGGAAGTGAATGCCAACCAAATCTGCCACAGTGTCTTCATCCATCTGAACGCCTTCTATTCCTGTCAGAAGCACCGTTCTTTTGGATGTTGCTGAAAATACCTATGAAGCAAAAATAAATAGAAAAACTTCTAAAAGCTTTGAATGATTATAAAACTTGACATTCAAAAGCTGCACCTAGAATTTTGGATTTTATCTTAAGAGACACACAGAACCGCAAGAACATTTTCAACAAGGGAATGTCACAGGAATATCTGAGTTTGAAAAAGATGACTCTGGTGGCATTATGATGATAAGGGAGAGGGGGGCAGCTAAGGGACAGAAGACCAGTCTAAGCATTAGTTAGAGATAGAACTGGCAAGACCAGGGACCAAGTAAATGTGGGAGGATGTCAAACATGAAGACTAAGGTATGAGTTGTAAGCAGTTGTGGTGGCCCACGCCTGCCATCCCGGCACTCAGGAAGCTGAGAAAGCAGGATAGAGTTCCAGGCTGAGCTACATGGCAACCCTGTCTAAAAAAAGAAGGAAGGGCTCAGGTAGGCTATATGACACCCAGGATTAAGGGCCCAGTACCCCCAAAAAAGTATGAGTTGTAGCTTTCGGAAAGAGGGGAGACAAAGTAGGTAGGAGAGTAGGAATCGGTTAGGCAGTTAGGGTAAAAAAGAACCCAAGGAAAAGTAGCCAGTTTCTCGGCTAAAATTCAAAATGTCCTTGGGCCTCTTAGCAACATACTCTGTTCCAAAGGCAAAAAATGTCAAAAGTATTTGGGAGCTTGTATCTAATCCTTAAAATATTTTATGGTTACCTCTTCAGAGGGGGGAATGTTGGAGGGGAGCAAGTGGGCGTGGATTTGATCAAAATACCTTATATGCATGTATAAAATTCTCAATAAAGTTTTTGTAAAAATTGAAAAAAAAAAAGAAAGAAAAAGGATTAAAAGCAACATTGGACAGATGTCAATAGTCTCCAAAATGTACTACCAATATTAAAACTTCTTAAAATTAAATTATTATTATCTGCATATTTCAAGGGTTTTGGGGTCTTCTTTGCATACTGGGATAGAATCTAGAGCCTTGCACATATTGGGACAGTACTCTACCACTAAGCTACATCCCCAGACCCTCCCACCCTCTTTATTTTTTTACTTTTTGAGACAGGGTTTTGGCAGTTTGCCCAGGTTATCTTTGAACTTGCTCTGTAGGCCAGGCAGGCACTGAACTTGCAATCCTCCTGCCTCTTTCTCCCAAATAGCTGGGATTCCAGGACTGCACCACCAGGTTTGACTTCAGTTTTAAAAATAGAATAATAAATAAGACACAGCTTTGCATTAAAATATTCTTTAAAAAAGACAAACTTATTCTGTACCAATGAAGCAAAAATGAAGAAACTATTTTGATAGCCCTCTCTGATAAGATTCAAACAATGGGCACAACTTGTTCATTTCTGTGAGGTGGGTTGGAGCACTGAGTTATCAAATGAAGGGAAAGTGACAACTTTACCTGGTACTTTTCCAAGCGTCTTTCTATATATGGAGAAACAGTGACTCTATAGCACCTCTGACTTATATAAAAAGGATAGTCATTCTTCTTCAAGATCCTGTCAGCAACTAAAAGTAAACAAAAAAGGTGTTTTTCTTTACTATCATAAACATTTTTAGACACAGCCACAATTTCCTTCCAACAGGATATTATCAAAGTAAATACTGAGGTGAGTGACTAATTTCTTAGAAATTCTACAGCCCATATTGATGACTTCAGAGTAATAATTTTGAAAAATAAAAGACTACACAATCATTAAGCTGAGACAGTTCCTTTTGTCTTGAGCGTCCCATTGCAGTCAGTCAATGCATGCAGGGAAATGATGCCTTCAGGCGGGCCTGCCTTCGAGCTACACAAATAAATAACCACCGCTTGCACTCATCCTAACAAGACTGTGGACTTGCCCAGCTTCTCAAGAACTATAAATAAAAACTTGAATTAGAATCCTACAGTATAAAAGTATATTCTACACTACACATGCATGTAGTAAATCACTAGGTTGTCCCAATGTTCATTAAACTGAAATCATATTAGCCAAAGTGGGGGTCGGAGGCACTGAACATCATCTAGACAAAGTGAGAAAATGAGAGAAACGCATCCCATTTTCTCCAACGAGTGCACAAAAAAAAAGATCTGATTTTTTTTTTCTTTTATGATATGATCCCAGGGAGCCTAGACTGACCTCAAACTCACAAAGGAGCCAAGGATGACCCTGAATTCCTGATCTTCCTGCCTCCCCCACTATAGGTATGTGCTACCACCCCTGGTTTATGTGGTGCTGAGGACAGAGCCCAGGGCTTCATGCATACCAGGCAAGCATTTACCAGCTGAGCTACGTCTCCCAGCCATGATTTATCTTTTGGCATTTTTTTCTCTTTGAGTGGAAAGGTAATGTGAAGAATGTATACAGTATTTTTGTGGTTTGTTTGCTTGTTTATGAGGTAGGTCTCACCAGATAGCCCAGACTGACTTTGTGAACAGATGCTCAAACACCATGTTCACAGCAGCAGTATTCAACAGCCAGCAACCAAATGGTAGAAGTGACCCAAATCCCCATCATGACAGGAATGAACAGATGATATGTGATAAAAGGCAAACAGGCACAGGGACACACACACACACACACACACACACACACACACACACACACACACGTACAAGCACAATGAAATAAGTTCTGATAAATACTACAACACAAGTGACCCTTAAAAACAATAAACTAAGTGAAAAAAAAGTACATGGAAAAATAAGAAAGGAACAAATAGTGCATGGCTCCTCTTCCAGGAAGTACTCAGAACAGGAAAATTCATAGAGACAGAAAGAAGAGTGGCTACCAATGACAAAAAGAAGTTGAAAGGAATTATTGTATAACAGGTAGAGCTTCAATTTAAGATGATGGAAAAATTTGAGGATGGCAGAGGTAGTGGCTGCACAGTACTGTGAATTTAATGTCACTAAACAGTACACTTTTTTAAAAATTGCATATGCTTGTGTATGTGTATATGTATGTCACAGCATGCATGCGGTGGTCAAAGGACAACTTGTAATCTGACCATTCTCTTCTCCTACCATGTGGGTTCCAGAGATTGAACTCGGGTCATCAGGCTTGGCAGCAGGCAGTTTACCAGCTATACTGTCTTGCTGGTTCCTAAATTGTACACTTAAAATGTTTCAAATGGGGAGGCTAGAGAGATGGCTGATCAGTTAAGAATACTGGCTGCTCTTGTAGAGGACCCAGGTTCAGTTCCCAGCACCCACATGGTGGCTAACAACTGTCTGTAACTCCAGTTCCAGGGGATCCAACATCCTTTTCTGGCCTCTAAGGGCAGGAGGTGAACTTAAATGCAGACAAAACACTCATACACATAAAGATTATTTTTTTTAATGTTTCTAAAAGTAAGTGGAAGAAGGACAAGAGGAGGGAAGGATTGAAGAGGGGAGGAGAGGAGAGGGCGGGGAGGAAAGGGGAGGGGAGGAGAAAGACCCTAAGTGGAATAGACCTGCTTCAGTCCAGCCTGTGCTGGTTATTATCTATGTGGCCTTGAATATCTTTCTAGATTTCTTGAAAACTCAGATAACTTTCCTGAAAAACGGGTACAATTACAGTACCTACCTTGTAAATGGTTATGGTAAGTCCATAAGGCACTTCTTAGGAAGTGGCTGCAATATCTACCTTCAGATAGCTCTATTTTCTTCCAAAGTTACCACCTGTAGCCTTCAAAGCTGTCCTTTGACTGGACACATCCTCTAGGAGGGAATTCCCAGAGAAGATAGGAGCACCTGTTTCCAAGCTCGAATCATCTTCCAATATGGAGTATTAAATTGCATTATTACTTATAAATGAGTTTCTCCTGGATGTCTTTAAATATAAGAGATAGACCACCTAACATCAAACAAACAAATTAAACTTACAAATTTGGAAAATTAAAATCTGGATCCTTGCTGGGTGTGGTGGCACATGCCTTTAATCCCAGCACTTGGGAGGCAGAGGTAGGCGGATGGATCTCTGTGAGTTTAAGGCCAGCCTGTTCTATAGAGTGAGTTCCAGGCTAGGTGGGGCTACTGGGCGACCCTGTCTCAAAAAGACCAAAAATTTAATTAATAATTAAAATAAAATCTAGACCCTTGACTATGGAAAATTCCACCAAGCTACTGTCCATTTCTAAGACAATATATGAAGGCAGCCCTCAAGTCCTCTTCATTCCACTGCTCTCTCTGACTAAAACACACCCCAAGAGACCGTAAGCATTATCCTAAGGTCCAGGTCAAAAATGCATACTAATAAGCTTCCATGTGCCCAGAGAAAGCTCTGGAACTATTCCCAACTAAGCATAACCAATGGCATAGTAAAAGAAAGAGAATTTGAGGAAATGCATAATACTTCGTTGTCATTACAATTTCTTTAAAAAACACGTAATACTTTCTTGCAAAAAAAAAATCTTATCAGTTTTTTTTTATATTTTATTTATTTTCTGTGTATGCATGCATTGCCTGCATGTAAGTAAGTGCACCCGTGTCGTGCAATGCCTGCAGAGGACAGAAGAGGCTGTCAGATCCCCTGGAACTGGAGTTACAGACAGTTGTTAGCAGCCATGTGGGTGCTGGGATTCAAACCTGGGTCTTCTGCAAGAACAGTCAGTGTTCTTAACCGCTGAGCCATCTCTCCAGCCCCATCAGTCTGTTTTTTAACGGCATCAAATTTCTAATGTATGTAAACCCAGGAAAAGCCCTAGAGCTATACTAATGAAAATAAGAAAATTTTACACCAAGAATCATTCAAACATATTAACAAGAGAAACACACCCTCCCTATGATGATCCATTCATAACTAAAAAGCGATCAGATGCCTGTTCTTCCCAGTCTCCCCGACTGTCTTCCAGTCACTTCCTAAGAAGTGTCTTAGAGACTTAACTACAACCATTTAGGAGGTGATGTTGTAATTACATGTCTTTTCAGGAAAGGAATCTGAGTCTTCCAGAAATCAAGCAAGATATTGAAGGCCACATAGCTAATTACCAGTACAGGTAAGACGGAAGCAGAGAAATATAACCTAGGGCCTTTCCCTCCTCCCCTCCCTTCTTTCTCCACTCCCCCTTTACCATGTGAAACATTTTGAAGTGTACAATTTAGTAGCATTAAGAACATTCACAATAATGTACAAACTTTGACAATAACAATGGGTTAGAAAGAAGAGAAAGTTTATGTATTCTGTTACACACAAATTTAATTATATAGCATTAAATATAATTCATATGTTAAATATATTAATTATACTAAATATATACAATGTGTTAAATATACACTTAAATTGCTCCGTTGCACACCCACTGTGTGATCTTGGAAAAATTATTTATCTTTTCTAGACCTTTTTCCTCATCAATGATATAAATGTATCACCTACTTCAAGAGTATTAATGAAGATCAGAAATGATAACATGTGCTGACACCCAGCGTCATGCCTGACACATGATTTCACAAACTACAACGTATACAATTGTTACTTGTAATATTAACAAGCTCATGAGCATTCACAGAAATCATTTTCTGGATTCTGCCTTTGTGTAAGGTTAAGAACCCCCCCAAACTGGGCCATTGAGATGGCTCAGCAGGTTATGGTGCATTAAGGTGCTTGCTGTCACCCCAATGATCTAAGTTCAATCCCCAGGATTCACATAGTGGAAGGATAGAATCAACTGACACAAGTGGTCCTCTGATCTCTACACATGTGCCATAGCATGCACACAAGCAAGGCCCCCCACATACACATGTACACTAAATAAATAAATGTACTAAAAATAATTTTTAAGAGTGTTTAGAGGGAGAGATAGCTCAGCAGTTAAGAGCAATGGCTGTTCTTGCAAAAGACCCAGGTTTGGTTCCCAGCATCCACATGGTAGCTAACAACTGCCTGTAACTCCAGTTCCAAGGGATCCAATGCCCTTTTCTGGAGTCCATGGGCATTGCACACACAGTTGCACTTACATACATGAAGGCAAAATACTCATATTTAAAAACAAACCAAAAATTGTAATTAAAAAGTGTTTAAAAAACAAAGATCATGCTAATCCATTTCAAATAAAGAGGTAAACAGAAATGCTTTCAGGACTGGAGGAGAGCGTTTCAGGACTGGAAGAGAGCAGTGGGACGGTGGACTGCTTGTGCATACCTCCAGCTTCCACAAATGTGATGACAGCACTCTGGGACTGCTTGTTGTATTCCACGGTCTCCACCTCTCCGCCTCCATTTCTGGACTTACAAAAACTCAGCTCCAGCTTGTCCCTCATCTGCTCCTCAGGCAATTCATCAGGAATTCCCGTAACATTGATCTTCATTTTAGAAATTTCTATGTGAACCTGGGAGAACAGTTCATGTTTAGAAGTATAGATAAGGAAATTTGCATGCTCAACAGAATTGCCAAAGCTTTGACGGCTGTCTCACCTGGAATCTGATTCCTGAATCCAGTGGAACTGTCCCTGCAGTGACCTCCACAATTACATCCTCCATCTGCACATGATGCTTCCCCATCATTATCACATTTTGTGCAACTGGAAAATAGTTTTGGAAGTATATATTTCTGATAGCCTGAGATATTTTTATACTTTTCATTCAAGGACAAATTACTACAGTTTTCTGTTGCCGTTTCATTTTATTTTTTATTATGTGTATTTATTTATTTGTGGAGGGGGTTCCAAGGCCAATTTGTGGGAGTAGGTTCTCTCCTTCCACCATGTGTTTCTTGGGGATTGAACTCAGGTCATCAGGCTTAACATCAAATACCTTTACCTTTTGCGCCATCTTGCCTATCCCATTTTCTTCAGTTTTAAAGGCTCTGATTTTAACATTTCTCTTGGGATTTCCAAGTTATAATGATCTTACCACACAAGCATGAAAAATTAATGTCACAATGCATGAGCAAAAATGTCAATATAGAAATTTGCAAAGTTCTAAATTCATCTTAAGAGATGACTCTCTTGAGGTTAGAGAGATGGCTTAGTGGTTAAGAGCATTGACTGCTCTTGCAGAGGACCCAGGTTCAGTTCCCAGCACCCACATGGCAGCTAAAAACTGTATTTAACTCCAGTTTCAGGGGATCTGATGCCCTCTTCTGACTTCCATGGGTAATGCACAGACAGTGTACTTCGATACATTCAGGCAAAACACTTATACACATAAAAAAAATTTTTTTAATTTAAAAAGAGATGACTCTCCCTATCTCTTAAGATGAAAACTTAACAGCTCTCCAGAATCATGTTTCTTTTGGTCCAGCCTCACACACAGCCTTTCCACAGCTGACAGCGGTACCAGGAAATTCCTCTAGTGCCTTAAAGTTCAGTCAGAAATTCTTCCCTGTTGAGAAAGCTGGGGAAACTCTGTGGGCCTGAGTCATTTTATAATAATTTCATTTAACTCCTACATTTGTCACACTCATAAGTTACTAGCACCAAGAAACATTTTTTTTCATCTCTATCATCCCAAGAAAACCATACTACTTTGCTTTTATCGTAACTTAATGCAGAATTCTACTTTTGCTAACATGTTCTTGAGGCCATTCTTTTTAAAATAGCCCATTATACCAATCTCCAAGCTGTCAAGTTTAATTTCTCTACACAAATGGTACAAACTCAGTAATACAACTGTACCAAAGTCATTAGAAGTTCAAATGACAATCCTCTATTCATTTAAAATACATGTGGGTAGGTGTTTCTTCTAAACTGTGTGGTAACTTTATAACACTTCAGTCGTTGATGTTTGTAGCTGCTCGTTCTAGTTTTCTCCCTGTCACATGTGTTTATGACAACTGGAGACACCACAGCTGGAGGAAGTGAGAGAGGGCTAGAAGACAGGGTGTTGTCGGGTGGGAATTCAGACTCCCTGTACCACAATATGACTCTAGAACTTGGCCTTTGGATTCTATTTTTTTTTTTTTTTTTTTGCTAATGGCAACAGACAACAATAACAAAAAACATCAATGAAGTAATACTCAGATGATCCTCCCACTCCTCCCAAACCCCCCAACATCTGGCAATTCGACACACAGAGAGAGAGGGACCACTTGTGTCTCAACTTCTGTGACTCTGGAGGTTAAAAACCCAACTCTTGTTTGTTTGTGTCACCCTGGAGCTGTCCCATGGCATGAGGACTTTAGAATCATGTCAAGGGAGGAGCAGTGGCAAGGCCGCATCTGAAGAAAACCTAATCCGGCATGCCACACAGAAGCCTGCTCCCGAATCCTCCCTTCCACCTGCCAGTAATGTCCCAGTTTCTCCCTCTGCCAGCGTAGCTCCTGGCCTCCTCTTTCCCCTGAATGTAAGCATGGCTCCAGAGTGAACAAAGCCACACTGTGACATAGGCCTCACCTGTGCATGTCTTGACCTTATATTCTTCCTTTTGACATTTATTTTCAGGCTAGTCTAGTGAATCAGGTGTCAGGAGACATGGGTTAAAAATCACAGAGTCTCAGAATCTAAGCCCTGAAGTCATAACTTCCACAATAAAGGCCTAGGGTGAGTGACCTGCTCTCTGGAATGTTGGTCCAGTAGGAAATACATGAGCACTGAGGATTAGGATTTGGGCTCCAAATTTCAGGAACGGAAGCCCTTCTCTAAGTTTGTTTCCCTATATGGAAAATCTCTAAAGTGGAGTAATAATGGCATCCAGCACTAATTGTGTTTATTATGTGTCAGGCATGCACATTCTATGAATACATCTCATTTAATATCCCAAACAGCCATCAAGTATGGACTATTACAAAGCCTGACATAAAACTGAGGTTTATAAAGAACTCAATCTATGTCATGCTTCTAAGGAGGAGGCAAAGCTGACACCCAAAGCCAGATCCTCCTCTTGAAGACAGCCAAGTCCTGAATATGCCATGCTTTGCCCATATCAGGTCCTTTCCCAAACCTCTGACTCTTGGGCTCAGTCCATTCACTCCTTATGTGACAACTAAATAATACATCCTCGGACTCTGTTTTCTTACCAATGAAATATAAATAATAACTGTCCTGCCTTCCTGTATTTCCAGAACTGTACAAACATGGAATGAGATCATGTCTCTGAGAACACTTGGAGAACTAAACTTCTACTACTTTATTTTGAAATTATTTTATTTATTCATTCATTTATTATTTATTTATTTATTTATTTATTTATTTATTTATTTACTTATTTGAGACAGAGTCTTACTATGTAGCCCTGGATGATCTGGAACTCACTATGTAAGCCAGGCTGGCCTCGAACTCACAGAGATCTGCCCACCTCTGATTCTGCTAGGATTAAAGGTGTGCGCCACCACATCCAGCAGGTTCTGTGACTTTATAACTTTATTGCTCTTATTATCATTTAAGGGACATAAGGAATAGAAAGACACTGACATGGGACATCACAACTCCTGTATTTTAGTCCCAGAATCATTATTTTTCAAATGTGTGATAAGCATTGATCCTTTAATATCATTGCACACATGAAATTATAAGTATGCAACAGTTTATATACTTGATGCCCAAGAGTCAACTTCCTCATCTATAAAATGAGGATACCACATCTACCTCAGAATTCCACTACGAGGACAAGAAGAAATGACAAATACACAAACTGCAAAGTGACAGCCAAATATCTATTCAAGATCTTTCAAAGTCCAAGCACTCTCCAAAGGTAACAGGTCAGATTTCCAAGATCAGTCATACCTTCTTCTTTCTCAAAGGTGATAAGTGCTTGGCCTCTTTGTAGCTCATAAGGAATTTGTGAGCTCACTTGAAATGAACAGGAGCTGTTTAAGAACTGGCTGTCATCCTCCGGACTCTCCACTGATACGAATTTCATCTTTGTTTTTGGAATATCTTCTTTAATCTAATTCAAACAAAAATCTTTGATTAGCATCACGATAAGAAATAATTTAACCCCTTCTAATGATAATGTGATTTGGTCTTCTAATAATTCCTTCTCCACTGATTATAGAGCTTCATGGAATATTGACTGTGGTCTTATTGAACATCTTTAACTCTGTCTTCCCATGCAGCTACTCAGTAATATAATCAAATGCAGAACCTTTAGTATCATTTCACAGATAAAATTATAAGAATATAATCCTCTCACTTTTTCTACCCAGTGTTTAAGCTGATCAATATTACCACAGTGTTCAATTCCAAAGCCTCCATCATTCATGTAGATAAGTACCTTTTAAATAACTGTGCCAGTAATGGACTATCTCGTAAGAGAATCATTGGAAATTATGTTTAAATTCATAGTATACTATGTTTTTTTAAATATTTTTTTAATTTATTATTTTTATTTTTATGTGTATGCGTGTATTGCCTGCATGTAGGTAAGTGCACCCATGTTGTGCAATGCCTTTGGAGGTCAGAAGAGGCCATCAGATCCCCTGGGACTGAAGTTACAGATAGTTGTTAGCTGCCTTGAGGTGCTGGGATTCAAACCCGGGTCTTCTGCAAGAACAACCAGTCTTCTTAACCTCTGAGCCATCTCTCCAGCCCCCCCCCCTTTTATATTATTCTTTAGCAGTTTCATACCAAATTTTAGTGAATTGAAATAATGAATTTTAGTCATTTTCACCCTCATTTCCCATCCTATCCCCTTCCCTCTCTGCTGAAATCCTTCTTTATTCCAACAAGTCGCCCTCCTATTTCTATGTCTTCTCTTATGTATAACCCACTGAGCTTAATTAGAATGGTTTGCACAAGTATGGGTAGGGGTTATGTACTAGGACGTGTGCAACTTATCAGTGGTTACACCACTAATGAAAATGACACTCTCTCCCCAGCAACAATTAACTGTCGGTATGCCCACAAAAGGAGTAATGCCCCATGGAGGGAGTGATACAGATGCCCCATTTAGGACTGAGCACTCCACTACTATGGTTAATTTAAGGGCAAATCCAGATAATTTCATTTTTAAAAAAGAGATTCCTGAATTACATGATACAAAATTTGTCAAATTTAAATTCCATCCTCCCCAAGAACTTTTTTTTAAGGCAGGATCTCACTACATCCCTCAAGCTGTCTTTGAACTCAAGATTCTGTTGCCTTGGCCTGTCCAGTGCTAGGATTACAGATATGGGCACCTCATCACACCTGGCTTTCCCATGAACTTTTAAATCATTTCCACAATTTAAGTTTATAAAATAATGAAGCAAATATTATCAACGAGAATTGTGCCCTGCAGGATAAAATTAGGTAGTTATGCTTAATTGCTTAAAATCTTTGAGATTAGCAAATGTACCTTTATATATAAATGCACATGAGTGAAATGTGAATGTTTCCACTTCCTGTGGTTACTTCATGTTTCTGTTTCTTATTGCTATTTTATATGAGGAATAAAATGTGTTATGGCAGGCTGGAGAGATGGCTCAGCAGTTAAAAGCACTGGTTGCTCTTGCAGAGGGCCCAGGTTCAATTCCCAGCACCCACATATTGATGGCTAACAACTGTCCATAACTCCAGTTCCAGAGGATCCAGTGCCCTCTTCTGACCTCCTCAGGCATTACAGGACACGGGTACATTTACACACATGCACACAATGCACTTATACACATAAAATGAAAATAATAAATAAAGCTGGGTGTAGTGGTGCATGCCTTTAGTCCCAGCACTCAGGAGGCAGAGACATGCAGATCTCTATAAGTTCAAGGCCAGCTTGGTCTACATTGTGAGTTCCAGACCAGTTGGGGCTCTAGGGAGACCCTGTCTCAAAAAGATCAAAAAAGAAAAGAAAAGAAAAGAATAAATAAATAAACAAAATTTTTTAATGGGTTATGGCAAAGAGGTTACAAATGTTCATTGGGTCCTTTGATCTGCTTTTATACTTTATATTTTTACATGCAACTTAAGTAGGATTTTAATTGCCATAGGCAAACTTCAAAACAGCCTGCAAAATCTGAGGAAAGGCAGAGCATTCTCCAAGCATATGGAAACACATAGTATTTATTCAGACCCTCTGAAACCAAGTATTTTCTACAGTTAGAGAACTCCAAAACTGAATCATACTTTGAGTCCTCTGTAAAATGTGTCCACTTGGCTGCCTAATTTCCCAAGGCTCTTTGATCTGGCCAGAGCCTGGCAAGTAACCAAATCCTAACAGTCTTCTGCCAGGTCACTCACTCACAAGGACCTCCTTTCCTGATATTCAATATCCTATCTCTTAGTGAAATAAAAAGTGACCATGTTTTAATCTTGTAACAACCCAGATGTCAAGAAAAAAATAAGGAGTAATTCAAATATAGGAAATTTTCACAGAAACTTTAAATGGTGAGAATTAATATATGCTGAACTTTCTAAACTGTGAAATTCTTTTAAATTACTATAGCACCTTGCTTGGATGAGGAAAATAAGTAGACTCAGTAAGAAGACCAATGATCTGATCCAAAAGTCATCTGCAATATGCAACAGTTTGTTTGTAGCTTTTATTAATCTTACGGTTTTGTAAGTTTTGTGATAGTGGCTTAAGTAGTAGAACAAAAGCATGTATTAAAAGTATAGTCCATTCAGGGCTAGTGAGATAACTCAGCAGTTAAGAGCACTGGCTGTTCTTGCAGAGAACCTGGGTTCAGTTCCCAGCACCCACATGGAGGCTAACAACCACCCACAACTCCAGTTCCAGGGAATCTGACACCCTCTTCTGACCTCCATGGGCAATGCACAACATGGGCACACTTACATACATACAGGCAATACACTCATACACATAAAATAAAAATAATAAAGTATAGTGCATGAAGAAATTATATGAAACTAATACCCAGACAACAAGCAGAACCACAGAAGTCCTCCTGGTTTCCCATGGGGTCTTAACTGACTGCAAAGATAACCATTACACTAACACAGTACATGGGCTATGCTTTTTTAAAATAGAAGCATGTGAAATCCTTCTTTTTTTTAATTAAAATGTTTGTGAGATTCACTCATGTTACATATAGTTGTTCATTCTTATTGTGTGTTGAATTTAATTGTGTAGCTAAACACTAATTTATTAATCGCTCTACTGTGGAAGAACACTTGAACTATTTTTCATTTAGGGCTGTTACATATAGTGGTGCTATAATAACTGTAATGCTTTGAAAGTTGATCTTTTATAACTAAAGCACTTTCTGAAAGGTATATATCCATTAAAATATGATACATAAAATAACTACAGTACTTGGAAATCTCTGGTGTCCACCTGTAATTCCGCTTCAAGTTTTTTTATCTCCTCAGTTAGCTGGATATTTTCCCTTATAATTTCACCAATTAATCCCTAAAAAAATAACGAACAGTTCAAAAGAGTTAAACATTTTAGCTCCTTTTTCTACATTAAAGATGCAAAATTCTCCCCACATTAAACCAAGGCAGCCTTAGGAAAGTCTCAGAATAAATATGTTCACATTAATAGTACATTTGTCAAATATTTTACACTATCACTTACTGGTTCTCCTAACCCTACCAAGATTTTCTAGGTCCATTATATGAACAAAGAAGCTGTTACCTTACAGAATAGACTAAAGTCATAGAAATTTCTATAATTCAGGCAAAGACCTTCTGAATCTTAGCTCAATAATCAGTTCTGCTACAGTTCAAATTGTACTATAATTATGGACACATTATCTTGAAGCAGTATTTAAAAATTAACCATGATTTCTGCAGTACCCCATACCTTGACCAGCCAAACATAGGGCCTTGCTCGTTTGAGTACCTGAATCTCTGCACCCTCTGGTTCTCATCAGGCCCTCTAACTCTTAACTTCCAAGTGCAAATCCAAGAAAGAAGGAAAAGAGAAAGCAGGTCATGCAAGCTTTGAAAAAAAAAGCACAGAACCACACCTCTTCTTGTAAAGCTTGAATAATACAACAAAGTGAAAATCTTTTTAAAAGCCCATTTAGCCTTACAAAGTCAAGTTAATGTCCTACAAAGACATAAAGCATGCTTTAAAACTAATAGTAGAAGCTAGGCGTGATAGCACACGACTTTAATCCCAGCACTTGGGAGGCAGAGGCAGGTGGATCTCTGTGAGTTCAAGGCCAACCTCATCTACATGGCAAGTTCCAGGCTAGCTGTGGCTACTGGGAGACCTTGCCTCAAAAAGACCAAAAAATGAAATAAAATAAAGCTAATAGTACAAATAATTTTTAATAATATCTAGTAATTTCCCTTTTTACCTTATTTTGTTCATCTTTCATCGGTCCTTTATCTGGCGGGTACTCTTCACAAGCTTGTATTCTGTTGTCTTTATCAGTTTCCATGATTCTCTAACTCTTAAAAAAAAAAAAAAAAAAAAAAAAGACTTAAAAAATAGCATACAAGAACAAATTCAATAAGAAAGAAATAATTTTTATTCTTTCATAGAAGAAACAGGTCTTCTTTGCTGTATATTTTTTATCATCAAAGTCTTAATTAACTTAAAGCCAAACAACATCTGTATGTATTTTGAATAATTTTCACACTTCTAAGCATATATTTTTTAAAAGTTATAAAAAACCTTTGCTTTCACCTCAATGATACAGAGAAAATAAAGGATATTAACATTCCTTTGCAGTTCACATCCCAAACATAATAATACACTTCACTTTAAAAGACTATTATTTTGATCTTCCAAACTTCAAAAGTTTCAAAGTTTTTTGTTTAAATATTTAATTCTCCTTATTCTGCTTCCAAATGTAAACAAAGCACATTTTATCTACAGGCAATTTCAGCTGGCCTCTAATATTAATATATAGAAAAGTAAAAAATAAACAACAATCCAGTCAACCAGAAGAACAATCAATAAATTACAGAAATTAGTGAACGAACATCTCTCAGTAAGAACTTTGAATGTAAATTATCTCAGCTGGGCATGGTGGCACACACCTGTAGTCCCAGCACTTGGAAGGCAGAGGCAGGTGGATCTCTGTGAGTTCAAGGCCAGCCTGGTCTACATAGTGAGCTCCAGGTCAACTGGGGCTACAGGGAGACCCTGCTTCAAAAAGACAAAAAAAAAAAAAAAAAAAAAAAAAAAAAAAAAAAGTAAATGATCTCAACTCACCAATAAAGATATTCAGACTAGCTGGCTAGATTAAAAGCAAGAGAATCACCTAACAAAGAAAAGTCCAGGGCCAGAAAGATACACTGCTGAACTTCATCAACCCTTTAAAGTGCTCCCCCCAATTGTTCTACAGACTAGAAAGGGAAGGAACACTACTAAACTCCTTCTACAAAGCCAGCATTGCCCTAATACTAAAACTGAATAAGGACACACAGAAAGAAAAAAAAAAATCTATAGACCAATATCCCTGGCAAACATAGGACATTCCCAAAAAAGTATTTGCAAACCAAATTCAAGAACACATTAAAATCATACATGACAAATTGGATTCATTAGTTCAATGTGTACAAATCAATCAATGTAATAAAGTACATAAATAGACTTAGAGACAGAAATCACATGATCATCTAAATAGAATATATAAAACCTCTGACCAAGTTCAACACCCTTTCACAATCCCTGAGAAACTAGGACTAGAAGGAAAAAATATCATCTTAGCAAAGGTTATATACAGCAAACCTACAACCAACATTACATTAAAAACCAAAAGCATATGTCTAAAATCTGGAACAAAACAAGGATTCCCACTCTCTATTCCTATTTAATATAGTACTCAAAGTCTTAGCTAGAGCAGTAAGATAATAGGAAAAATGCAAACAGGAAACAAAGGAGTCAAAGCATCCCTAGTTGCACATGACATGATTATTTAAAGCACCCAAAAAATCCACTAGAAAACTCTTAGATGTGATAAATGTTTTTAGTAAAGTAGCAAGAAACAAAAACAAAGTGCAAAAATCACCTGCTTTTCTACATACAAATTAAAAACTTGCTACAAAAGAAATCAGAAGGAAATCCCATTCATAGCAGCTTCAAAAAACTCAAAAAATAGCAGGGTAAGGTGGCACACACCTTTAATCCCAGCACTTAGGAGGCAGAGGCAGGCAGATCTCTATAAAGTCAAGGCCATCCCAGTCTATATAGCGAGTTCCAGGTCAGCTGGAGCTACAGGGAGACCCTGACTCAAAAAGATAATATTAATTCATTAATTAAATGAAAATCTAAAATAGGGGCTGGAGAGGGCTGAGTGGTTAAGAGCATTGGCAGCTCTTGCAGAGAACCTGGGTTTGGTTCCCAGCACCCATAAAATGCCTAACAACAGTCTGTAACTCCACTTTCAGGAGACACCCTCTTCTGACCTCCTCAGGCATTACATGGACAGGTGTACTTACATACAAACATGCAAAACATTTATACACACCAAATTTTAAAAATATAAATGTATTAAAAATATTTTAAAACTTTTTTTAATTTTAAGAAAAAATAAAACAGTGACTCAGTGGTTAAGAGCACTGACTGCTCTTGCAGAGGAGCTAGATTCAATTCCTAGCACCCACATGGTGGCTAAAAACCATCCATAACTCCAGTTCCAGAGGAATCTAATGCCCTCTGCTGACCTCTGTGGGCATTACATGACATAGGTGCACTTACATACATGCAGGCAATACACTCATATACATAAAATAAAAATAATAAAATATTTAAATAATAATAAAACAAAATACTTAGGAATAAACCTAAGCAAGGAAATGAAATACTTTTATAATGAAGACTTTGAAACACTTAATAAAGAAATTGAATAAGACACTTGATTATGGTAAGGCCTTCCATGCTCATAGATTGACAGAATTAAATTGTGAAAATAACTATATTAACAAAAGCAAGCCCCAAACTCAATGAAAATTCTCATCAAAAGTCCACTGACATTCTTCACAGTCCTAGAAGAAATTATTCTAAATTCATGTGAACATCAAAGGCAAATAACCAAAGCAATCCAAATGAGAAAGAATAATACTGGAGGCATCACAGTACCTGACCTCAGACTATACTACAGAGCCATAGCAACAAACAACATAGCACCAATACAAAACAAACATGTAGATCAATGAGTTAGAATAAGGGACCCCAAAATAACCCCATAAAGCTAAGTCACCTAATATTTGACAGAAGTGTCAAAACATACAATGCTAAGAAGATGGCTTCATTAACAAATAGTTCTTAGGAAACTGGATATCCACAGGTACAATAATGAAATTCGATCCTTATGTCTCATCTCAAACAAAAATCAATTCAACATAGATTGAAGACCTTAATGTAAGATTTGAAAACATAGGCAAAACAGTGCTGGAAGCAGAAAGATAAGGAGTTCAAGGTCAGCCCCAGTTACATAATAGTTCAAAGCCAAGCCTGACTATATGAGACTGTCTCAAAAAGAAAGGATACAGACATAGATAAGACTTAAGACTCTCTGCAAAGGACTCCAACAGCACAAGAAATAATTCCAAGAATTGAAAAATAGGATTGTATGAAATTGCAAAGCTTCTGCACAGCAAAGAAAACAATTACCAGACTGAAGAGACAGCTTAAAAAACAGAAAAATATCTTCGCCAATTATATATCAGACATGGGACTAATATCTAGAATATATAAAGAACTGCAAAAATTAAATACCAGAACATCAAATCATCCAATCAATAAATGGGCTAATGAATAGAATAGACAGTTCTCAAAAGAAAAAATACAAGTGCCAATAAATATTTGAAAAAATGTTCAAAATCCTTAACCATCAGGAAAATACAAATTAAAGATTCCACCTCAGCCCAGTCAAAATGGCTATCATCAAGGAAGAAAACAAGTGCTGACCAGGACATGAGGAAAGAGGACCTGTCAGTTGGACTATGAACTTAAGTAGTCAATGTAGAAATCAGTATGGCAATTCTTCAAAAATCTGGAAATAAAACCACCACATGATCCAGCTATATCACTCCAAGGTGTATACCCAAAAGATTCTGAGACAGTGTTAACAGACAGGTACCTACACATACAGGTACACTACACTATTCACAGTAGCCAAGGTGTGAATCCGACCTAGGTGCCCATCAGCAGATGATTGGATAAATTATATGATATATAAACAATGGAATTCTGTTGTGCTGTAAAGACAAACACGATTGTGGCACTTACAGGAGAATGGACAGAACTGGGGATCAGTATATTAAGCCAGACTCAGAAACACAAATACTGCATGCGTCCTTTTGTGTGCAGAATCCAGATGTATGTGTGTGTGTGTACCTGTGTGAGTAGTTCATTAAAGTAAAAAAAGAGGACCATGAAAACAGAGGAAAAGACCATGGGGGGGGTGAAATACACGTGACAGGAAAGCAGGAAAGGGAGACTGGTGGGAGGGAAGGGAATACTGAAAATGCATAGGAGATATGGGGGAGGGCAGTGGAAGAGGGAGATAGAAAGTATAATATGTGGAAAGTCATAATAAAACCCATTATTTCATAGGTTAACTTTAAAATCTTTTAAATTAAAATCAAACAAAAGTATTTAAAAGAAAATGTGGGTGTGTTTGTGTGACATCAAAGTGGAGGAGGAAGTGGGCTAAAGGGAAGGAGGGTGGGGTACAGAAGAGTAACAGAATATATATAGAAACATATGTGTCCTGAAAATAGAAAGGGAACTATTTAGGGGAAGGAAGGGGACCAGCAAGAAGGGATGGGGGACAGGGTAGTGAGAGGTCAAATAAAATACAGTGTAATGGTCTAAAGAGATGGCTTGGCAGTTAAGAGCATGTACTGCTTCTCCAGAAACCCAAGTTCAGTTCCCAGCAACCTTCAACTCCATCTCCTGGGGGATTCAGTGCCTCTGGCTTCCGTGGGCACCTGTGCTCGTGTGCACACACAGACATACACATATATATGTAGTTTTAATTTTTTTTAATCTTAAAAAAATGACTATCCATAATATATGTATGAAAATGTCACAATAAAACTTATTTCTTTGATACTATAACCAAAAACTACATTAAAAATAAATTTTTAAAAAGAATAACTGGGGCTGGAGAAATGACTCAGTAGTTAAGAGCACTGGTTGCTCTTGCAGAGGACCCAGGCTCGATTCCCAGCCCTCACATGGCAGCTAACAAATCCCTAACTCCAGTTCCAGGGGATCCGATGCCCTCTTCTGACTTCTGTGGTCATTGCACAATACAGGTACACTTACATACATGCAGGCAATATACTCATACACATAAAATAAAAATAATAAATAAAATAATATTAAAAAGAATAACTTCACAGTGAAGACCTGGCATAAGTCACCAAAATGAGATAATCAAAATGAATAATGGGCTAAATCAACACCATGTAGGATCTGCTGAAAACACACCATGACTTTGATGGTGCCCTGGCCAAAGACACACAGACTGAATCTAAGCACGAGGAATACCAGACAAATTTAAATTTAGACACATTCCATGCCATAATTTTCCTCTTTCCTTAAAAAACAAAGTCACTTTCACTGGGCATGGTGGCACACACCTTCAATCCCAGCAGTCCTGAGGCAGGAGCAGGCAGATCTCTGTGAGTTCAAGGCCAGCCTGGTCTACACAATGAGTTCCAGGACAGCCGGGGAGGGGGGGGGATACAGGGAGACCCTGTCTCAAAACAACCAAAAAAAAAAAAAAAGTCACTTTCATGAAAGATAGCAAAATATCCAGATTGAAGGAAGCTAAAGAAATATCACAACTAGGGGCTGGAGAGACGGCTCAGTGGTTAAGAATACTGACTGTTCTTGCAGAAGACCCGGGTTCGCATCCCAGCACCCACGTGGCAGCTAACAACTGTCCATAACTCCAGTTCCAGGGGATCCGACAGCCTCTTCTGTCCTCCACGGGCATTGCACAACATGGGTGCACTTACCTACATGCAAGCATAACACTCATAGACATAAAATAAAAATTTTTAAAAAAGAGAAATATCACAGCTAAATACAATCTATGATTCTGATATTGGGGCAAATAGTGATATTTGAATTAAGTATGATGATAAGAAGGTAGTAAATGTCACCATTTATTTCTTCGTTTTCACACTGACATCATGCACGTACGAAGGCCTCTTATTACATTTCCAAAGACAGCAACTGCGACATTATTTAATTGCTTTTAAAACATTATTGTTACAAAAACCAATGTTAAAAGGTCATAGTAAAAGCTCTCATTGCAAATGGCCTACTACCTATAACCCTAGAACACTTTCCAATTTACCAAGTAGCTTCCCTTTTTGCAGTGTGTGGGATGTATGGTAATTCTTTCTTTTCATGCCATTGTAAGGCAGGCTGAATAATGATCCCCTCAAAGATGTTTATGTTCTAGTCCCAAGAATCAATGAAAATGTTAGATTACACTGCAGAGTAAAATTAAAGCTGCCTGTTGAATTCAAGTTGTCAATCAGCTGCCTTTAAAATACTGAGATTGGGACTGGGGAAATAGCTCAGTGAAAGGGCTTGTTGTGCAAGCATTGATTGGTCCCTGACTTCAGATCCCTGACTCCCACTGACAAAGCCAATGGTGATGGTGCCCTGGAGCTCACTGGCCAGTCAGTCTAGCCAATCAGTGAGCTCCAGGTAAATGGCCTACTACATCAAAGAAGGTAGAGAGTGATAGATGATACAGACTTCCACCTCTGACCTCTACAGGTATACACACAAGCATGCATACACACATACACACGCACAAAAAAAACAAAATTTTAAATTAAATAAATAAAATATAGAGAACACCCTTCATTGTGTGTGGAAACCCAGTGTGGCCCAGAAGGTCCTTAGGAGTGAAGACAACAGAAGAGACAGACTGAGGTGTGAAGCCAGAGGTGTGATCAGAGATGAGATGCAACACTGCTGACATTCAAGATGGAAGAAGGAATGCTGGGCCAAGAAGAGGTGGCAGATTCCAGAAATCAGAAGGGGGTTAACCCAACAGCTTTCAGAAAGGAAGGTAGTTGAACCAGCACCTTGACTTTACCCCAGAGGGACCTATAAGTCTTCAGCCTACAGAACCCTAAAACTGAAAAGCATGTGTGTGCACATTGATGCATGTGTATAAGCCACCGTGACCATGTAATTATTATGGCAATCAATTTTTTAATTTACTGCTTTTAAGCAATCACTGTCATCTTATTTTCCTAGTAATCCTCGTACCACTCGGTTCCTGGCCATACAGAAAGGGACCTTCTATGATACAAGTCTGGCAGGTCAAAGGATGACAGAAAAGAATGTGTGCATGTTGGATAGACCAGAAACATATCAAAGGATAAAATTACAATTTAAAGATCCTAATTGGATTTATTTTACAATTATAGCATCAGATGACACCTTGTTACATAAAATAGTGTTCTAATGGAGCATGGTGACACACCCCTGTCATTCCAGCACCCAGGAGGAGAGGCAGGAGGATCAATGGTTCAAGGCCAACAAGGTGTAAACAGCAAAATCTGTCTCAAAAAAAAAAAAAGTAAAAACAAAAAAAAACTAACAAAAAAAAAAAAAAAAAAAAAAAAAAAAAAAAAAATTACAGTAAATGGCTGTGTAGAAGTTGGTTTTACAGACAGAGAAGAGAGCTGATAAAAGCAGAAACAGGACAAAAAGTGGGCTGATTATTCATTCCAAAATCACTCACTTCCATTGCAAGGCAGGAAACCAGGAAAAGAACTGGTTAACAAGCTACTCTTTGTGTGGATTAAAGCCGAGGTAAAGCCATTCTTATGCTGAACTGACGAATGAAACTCCTGCTTAGGAAACTGGCCGCTTTCCCTCTCCTCAAGCAGGACACATGAAAAACTTAGTTTCCTTTGGTGACACCGAAGTCAGCAAGGGTGCCTCTCAGCTCAAACCAGCGGCCGCCTGTAATTCTTATTTAACTATATTCTCCTTTGAATGTCTGTTTCCAGAGAAGCCTTACATGTTCTGAAAAGTGTGAAAAGCGTGTCATGAGTACAGAGCTCTGCGCCGCCAAGGAAGAATAATCGCTTTAAGAAATCCATTTTCCTAAGAAAACTCCAAGGAAGAGCTGGGGAACCAGCAAGTTTTAAGTTTCCATTTCTCAGATGAAGCCCAGCAAGCCGACCCGGGACTGAGACCCGACCACCCCAGAGGCAGGTGCGCAGGGGACCGTGCGGACCCCGGAGCCCCTGCGACCCCAGCCCACGCGCTGCCCGGAGGCTGGAAGCCGCCCGACTCCCCGCCCGGCGGGCTGCTGCTGGCAGTACGCCCCTGCCCCGCACTCACCGCTCTGGCGGCTCGCCGGGAAACCAGCTCCGGAGCTGCAGGCCTGGCCCCAGGTTGTGATGTCCGCACAGCCTCCTTCGACCCTCGCCGCTGGGTCCACAACTGGTTCCTTCCAAAGCTCCCAGGACCCGCGCCTTTAAAACTGAACCCCTTGCCGAAATGCCAAACCTGGTCTCAGCAGTGACTAGCACTCCCAGGAACCACAGACAGGAAATTTCACTTTCGATTTTGCCAACTGTGGTGGTTCTGTTTAAAGTGTGGACATTGTTCCAAAGGCCATTACCAACGTTTCTACAGAAACGCTAATTCTAGGGCCTGTCTTGAAAAGTGTATGTTTGTGCGCATTATGCTAAACAAACTGTTGAAAAAGGAGATAGGAGTCAAATAAAGTTAAAGCAGAAATCTCCATCGGGTCTTAATTTTCGCTGTGACCTCAGTTTCCAAGTTTTGCCGGGCAGCACAGGATAGATCCGCCTGAGTCTAACAACCCTGGGCTTTGAAGATGGGAAAGCTGTGTTGTGGGGTGTTTTCTATGACCCTTGAAAGTTTTCTTAGAATCCTTTATTTTTGTTGTGACGATTATAAACAAACTCTTCCCTAGGTGTGAACTTTTCCTTGGAGGATAAAAACATCAGGCTTATCTCAATATCAGCCATGTTTCCTAGCCCTACACCCAAGCCATCCCACAGCTGCTCTGCCCTGAGTAGAGGTTGGTAAATATGCAATAAATGACTTCAGTAAGTTGTGGTGCCTGTAGCTATGCATAGCAACCAATACAGTGGTCTAAATCCATACATTGGCAAAGCCAGATTCGTTTTTATCTAGCATGCTGATGGGAGCCAGGTTGCAGTGGCATTTCTAATTGATTAAAAAAACGTGTAAGGATAAGGGTTTCTTTGTGTTATCAGCCCAGTTAGAAAGTAAAATAAGCTCACGTTCCTGGAATTGTAGTGGAAACATATATTTGTTAAATGAAACTTGTAAGAGATCTTTAGTTTAGATTGAACTCCTGCTTTAACCAACAACCCAAATCAAAAAGGCGTTACTCATGCGGACCTCCTTCATCCTCAAGAAAAAAAGCAAGTTATCTATCCTTCCAAGGAATCAGAAGAGAGATAAAGGCCAAATCCCTAAGTAGGCCAGTTTTACTAATCATTAGGAAGTTCTTCCTGCTTAAACCTTTACAACAAAAGTAACTTTCCCCGGGTTCAATTCCCAGCGCCCACATGGCAGCTAACCGTCCTCAACTCCAGTTTCAAGGGAATCCAAAACCCTCTTCTGACCTCCCCGGCACTGCATGACTCGGGTGTACTCACATACACGCAGGCAATACACTCATACACATAAAATAAAAATAATAAACAAAATATTTTAAAAAATAAATAGCTCATTTGGGTTTTGTGAGTTTCTACTTTCTTCAGCTCCACCCCACCCCTTTCTTTGGCCTATAAAACTAACGTTTTTTTCTCAATTCACCAGAACCATTATTTTATGCCTTGCCTTTTCGAAAAGATCTAGCACAGCTGAGCATATGTGGCTACTGCCAGTACCTGGGTGATGCAGCTTGTAATTCCTCCTTGGGGAAGGCAGAATTCTTAAGCCCAGCTCTGTGCAAGATCCTGAGGGATACAAAGTGATCACACAACATCACTCTAGTTTTCAAGAGGTTACACTGAAATGTATAAACGGTAAGGGCAAATGCCTTCCTCTTTATCAGATAGGCAGTAGACATAAATAAAAGCACGGAATCACTGTCAGATATGGGTTGAAATACCAATTTTAATGTACTGAAGTCTCTTGGTCTCGTTTTCGCAGCTATGAAATGGAACTGTCATGAGCAAAATATAGTTGTACAAGAAAGGATGCCACATCCTGTCCATTGCACAAGCCCTGTGACTGGCAGCCATTACCATCTCATAGTGCCCTTCTTTCTCTCTCAATCTCTCTCTGTCTCTCTCGCTCTCTGTCTCTCTGTATATGTATATATATAATATTTTCATTAATTTTTGAGAATTTCATACATACATACAATGTATTTTTATCTTATTCATCCCGCATTCATTCCCCTAACTCTCCCCAGATCCACCCTCTACCACCTCCCAACTTCATGTCCTCTTCTTATTCCCAGCCTGTTGATTCCAGTATGTGCTGCCCATACACTCGGGTGTGGGGCCATCCACTGGAGCATGGTCAACCTACCACAGGCCAGAAAAGCGGCTCTCCCTTCCTAGAGGCCACGACACCATACTGCCTGCCTTATTCTGGTTTTTGGTGTTTGTTTGCTTATTTTGCTTTGTTGGTTTGTTTGTTTTTGGCTTGATTGTTTGTTTGTTGAGAGTCTTATGAAGTCCAGGATAGTTTGAAACTCCCTATAAAGCCAAGGCTGGCCTTGAACTCCTGATTCTCTGGCTTCTGTTTCCCAAGTGCTAGAGTGAGCCATGGCACCATGGCTACTTGTCCTTTTATTCAATGTTTCCAACATTTCTTTCAGTGTTTCTTAGGAAAATACTGTCAAGACAAGATTTGGGAGAAGGTTTATGGATATTGCCTACAGTCACTAGTACAGTGACTATACCTACTACACCTAATGTGTGATGTACAGGTATGTATAGCTACTGATTAGATACCAGAGCATAAGTCAAATGTTCTGGGTCTAATGCTACAGCCCCTTGTAAAGGTTTTCATATTCTCTTGTATAAGTAAACTTGTGCCAAGGATTATAAAATGTGAGATAGATCAAATGTACAGAAATAGAAATAAAACCAAGTGAAATAATAATTAAAGAAAGTCAGAATATTATATTTGCAAAAAAACTATGTTAGGCTGGAAATGAAGCTCAGTTGTAGAGCACTCTGCTAGCATGCATAAGGATCTAGGTTTGAACTCCAGACCTGGGATGGAAAATCTGCAAAAAAATAAATACATAAAAAGGAATTGAAGGGATGGAAAGATGTCTCAGCAGTGAAGAGTACTGACTGTTTTTGTAGAGGACCCAGGTTCGATTCCTAGCACCCACATGGCAGTTAACAACCGTCCATAATTCCAGTTCCAGGGGATCTGACACCTGCGTTGCATGACACAGGTGCACTTACACACATGCAGGCAATGCACTTATACATAAAAAAATAGTAATTAGGGAAATGCAAATTAAAACCACTTTAAGATTTCATCTTACCCCAGTCAGACTGGCTAAGGTCAAGAAAAAAAAAATGATACCAAATGTTGGAGAGGATGTGCGGAAAGGGGAACACTCATCCACTGCTGGTGGGGCTGCAAACTGGTTCAGCCCCTATGGAAAGCAGTGTGGAGAACTCT